CCCCAAAACCCCAAAACCCCAAAACCCCAAAACCCCAAAACCCCTAAATAAAATTTTAAATTGGTTTATTCAAAACTTAAAATGGATAAGGTAGATGCAGCAGGAGATAAAATGGAGGAACTTAAGAATAAGATGATCCACAAGTGGATATCCATCCCCTACAGTATCCTCGTAGTCGTAGTGGCTGGAGCATGCTATAATTTGTTTGCATACTTCCAGTCTATTGCTATAATGAAGGGGTATAGTCAGGACACACTCACTGGAATCCAATATACTGTACTTCTGGGCTATTATCTTGGAATCATCCCTGGGTATATTAACAGAAATCAAGGAACAACTATTGCTTTTTATATTGCGGCTGCGCTTTCACTCATTTCCTTCGCTGTGTTAGGATACATTGCCAACAGCATGGAAAGCTCTATGGTTGACAAGGTATTAATGTTCATTTTCCTATTCATTGGTGCTATGAGTGGTTCAATTGCTACTATTGCAGCTATTGTTACAACTGTGAAGAGTTTCCCAAAGATGGCAGGAATTTTGATCATTGTTATCCTGGTTTCTTACTACAAGATCGCTCCATACTTCGAATATTCTGTCAGAGTCGGATTCTTCACCAGTCCAAATTTGCAATATTATTTCGCTGGAGTTGGAGCCATCCAAGCAGTAATCTATGTTATTGCTTCCTTTGCCATTCAAGAGATTGACTTAGGAGGTAACATTGAGAAAGCACTCCAGGCTTATGACAGAATGGGACTTCTTTCCTATGTGTTGATAGAGGTAATTCTGTTCCTAGCATTCTTCATATTTGGACTAGTTTATGAAAATTGGAAGATCGCAGCTATCATATTTATATTTTTCCTGGTTCTAAACTTCATCGCTGTCGCAGGAGCCTTTACAATCGTTTACCAGCAAGCAAAGACTGAAGGACTTAAAGTATCTGCCTCGATTAACAGAGAGAAGAGGAGAGATATTCCCTTTGAAGAGATGCTTCATGCTCCAAAGTACATCTGCTTGACAATAGCTTCCTTTTTCATTCTCGGGACGACCTGTACTTTCAGCTTCAATATTTTCCAGATTTCTTTCTCCTTCCACCAGCTTGAACAGGGAGACCTCCTACTTGACTCCTTCTGGGGAGCCGACATGTTTGGAAGAATCGGAGGAGGACTTGCCGCCTATTTCTTTATTGATAAGATAAATGGATATAAATGGGCCATCTTTGCATCAATTATTTCTGCATTAGGATTCGCAGTCTGTCTTCTTACAGAATCAGTGAGTCCTCATTGCTTGTTCATCTCAACTATCATGGTTGGGTTCGCCTCAGGACTGTTCTGGGTAATGGTACCATCTGTAGTCATGGAAGATGCTGGAGAGATCAACTTTGGCCTCAACTGGGGTCTCACATTGCTAGCAAGCGCTGTAGGAATGGTCATCTTCGGGGTCATATTTGATCAATTGTATTCCTTTGAAGCTGGAGGAGGTACCATGTGCTCAGGTATAAACTGCGTCATGATTCCATTTATCCTCTTCTGTATCCTCGGAGTCGTCTCTGCTGGTCTCTGTTACTATGCTCTGATTGATGATGAGAAGCCAGAGGAAAAGGAGAGAACGCTGTTAGGCATGAAATACTAAGTTTTTGTGTTAAAAAGTTCATAGATATTGGAATCTTGATAATTCATGCTAATCGGCTTTATTCCTGAAGCTAGAGATTTCTAATTTATTTTGCAGTCTAGTTAACCACATCTCTCTGCTAAACCTGGTTGGCTTCATTTCATCAAAATTAGTTAAGTCATGTGACTTAGGAGTTGGGGAATCCAGGAGTTTAGGAAAACTTAAGTTAAGAGGCCTTTATCTGCAGGCTTATTTACAACTGTTTTGAGAGAGCTGGGTTGCAAGATTTTGGGCAAGAGGGAGTCAAAGGGATCATTAGTGTGAGGAAATGAGGGATTAGGTGAAGGATTTGGACGATTTTTAGTAAATGAGACTTGGGAGCAATACGAGTTTGCATTGGATGGCTGAGGTAGGAGGTAACATTAGTTAAAGTTAATGGGGGATTAGGAAAAAGCTAGTTTTGGGATTATGGGGTTGATGAGTTTAATTTTTGGGAGTTTTAGGGAGCTAAAGATATATAGGTAATTTTGAATTTTCATAAGGAAGAGGAGTTTTTGAGAGATTTTGTTTGAGGAAGGTCAAATCTATCTTTTGCAAGACGATATTATAATTTTATATAAAAATGTAATGAAAATTTTGATAATTTTAGGAAAATATCATAGAAAGTGAAAGACCAAACCAATCACTTTTTTCAATATCCAATTTCCATTTTTATTCCTTAAATCTCATTTAGCCTCAATATTCCTCTACCAACCCGGGGTTTTGGGGTTTTGGGGTTTTGGGGTTTTGGGG